CCCCGCGGGGCCGTCCCTGGGTGCAACGGGGACGCTTTTGTGCCCCCCCCGTCACCTGGCGCTGCAGTTTTCAGACCACTCCTGAGTCCCCAGGAGCAGCCCGGGCGCGGCACAGATCCTGCCACCGGCCCCAGCCCCCCGAGCTGTCCGAACCCTCTGCCAGAGCCTGGGACCAGCCCCGGCTCTTGCCCCCTAATAGCAGCAGTCCAGGGGACAGGGCACACATGGCTGGTGTGGTGCCAAGTAGGGAACACGGCGTTTTTTTGGGACAGGGCTGGATGGCACCACCAGTACCTGCCAGAGGGCTCGGTGGGTGCTGGAGAGACTCCGGGTGAGGGAGAAATCCCTGCAGGCCTTTTCTGCAGGGTTCCCAGCTTCCCTGCTCTGCACCCGTGGGTGCTCCTACCTGTCTCCAGTGTCCCCCTCTTGCTGGCCAGAGCCATCCCTGGGTGCCCAGGGTGGTGTGGGGGTGCAGAGGAGGCTCAGCCCCCGGATCTCTGTCCTCCCACAGGTGTTCCTGTGCAAGTTTGCCTTCGGTGCAAACAAGAGCAGGCACATGTCCCTGAGGAGCCTTTGCAAAGGGCTGGTGTTTGCTCTAAGAGAGGCCTTTGTACTTGGAGCGGCAGGTAGGGGAGTGAGGAGCCATTTATTGCAGCCACACACCAGGACTGAGCCTCCTCTGCCCCCGCTCCCCCAGCATCAGTGTCCTCACCTCGGGAATGGTTTGGTCTCGGATCATTCCCACGTTCCTGGGGCTGCTCCCTGCAGCTCTTTTGGGATCGTGGTGTGGGCTCGGCCGCTCACCCACAGCGAGGGCACGGGCAGGAGTTGCCTGTCACTGTGCCATGGTCCCAAGGGGTTCACACTAGCCCATGGGCAAGCAGCGTGTTCCCTTGGGCCTGTTCATGGCACCCAAAGGGCTTTTCAGCTCCCATGGGAGCGGGGTGAGCACCCAACGCTGGCACGGCAGCTTCTCCATTGGAACCAAGGGTTGCCAGCAGCACGCAGAGCCTGGCTCCGGGGTGAGATGCCCCACAGATCCCTGCCTGCTCCCCAGGCTCACCCAGACCCCACTCGGGCAAATAACATATTCCAGGTGCACCCAGATCCTGGGGACCATGAGAAAGCCACCCGTCCTGGGGGACCTGGCTGGAGATGTCCCAGAGCTGCTCCGAAACGCGTGGGGAGCGGCGGGCGCAGCCGATTCCCTGTGTGCACAGGGAGATGCAGATTAGATAGATCATTTCTGCAGGGAGCCAGGTTTATAATCCATATGTAGAAATTCTTGGCATATTTCTCTGAGGATGTGGAGTGTATTTACCTGTTTTCGAGCCTGACAAAAGGGGGTGAGAGGGTCTGGAGATCCTTAGGGAGAGGGTTGGTCTTTGCTCCCCACTTGCACTTGAGGCCAGGGTGGGAAATGCCTCTTTTTTTTGGTCAGGGTTTCTTAATTTTGTGCAAGAAAAAAACAACCCACCTTTCCTTAATTTCAGTGGAGAAGGACCATAGAGCCAGGGCTGTAAACTGGTTTTCCAGTATTACAAAGTACTCCTGGGTTGGGCTTTTTTTTTTTTTTTCTTTCTTCTTTTTCTTTTTTTTTTTCCCATGTAAAGTCTTGGTGAAGATTGGACAATTAATGAGGTTATTTTTTTTATTTCGGTGACAGAACCAAAAAAAAAAAAAGGGGGGGGGGGGGAAAGGCCAAACAAACACTCAAACGTTTCATTTTGGGTCAAGTCCAAACATTTTGTTTAACATGAAACAAAATGTTTGGGTTTGGTTTCAGGTTGTTTAACCCTTTTGAATACGGTCAAGTTGTTTAGTAAAGAAAAATCACTGCTCAGAAATTAAGAGCTGAATAATTGTTTTGAAAGTCTAAGTGTGAAACATCAAACCTTTCTTAAAATAATAAAATAGGGAGAAACTCGGGGAACATTTTTTGTTTCCCTAATTCTCACAACTTATTTTTTTTTCCAGCCAAAATGCTGCCAAATTTTATTTAAATCCAGAAATCATGCCTATAATTCCAAATCACTTGTTTGACACTTTACAAGTGCTGTGTTGCACTGGCTCCTGATTTAACTCTGGGAAAGCAATGCCCTTGGCTTAGTTGAGACCCAAACTGCTATTAGAAATGATAATGAGCCCAGTTCCATTAACTTGTTATTAATCAGTAATTAGTAGGATCAGTTGGGTGACATGAACTGCTGGTGGCAGAGGTCAGTGTGAGCCCCTCGGCTCGGGCACGGCGGGGAAGGAGCACACGGAGGAGAGCTGTGGTGAAGGACATTTCCTTCACCTTCTTCTTGTTGGCTCCCACCTTCTCCGGGACAGCATGAAGACTCGAGAGCTCCGAAGCCCCAAGAGCTCTGAAACCCCTACGCTGTGGCCATCCCTGCTGGTTCCCGGTGCGACGGGCAGAGAAGTGCCATCGTCACCCAGGCTTGCCCCAGGGGCTGCTGACCTGATGGCCCAGCCACGGGGTGCCATGTGTTTTGGGGACAGGAGCAGGCTTTGCAGGGAGCACCGTGCTTGATCCAGGCGGGTGGGAAAACAGGAGGCAGCGTGTCCGTGTGTCCGTGCAGCCACCCAGCTCCCCAGCTCTGCAAGGGCTGTGCAACCAGCACCGTCTAGAAGACACCATCTATATGGTGGGGTTCTCCTGCCCATAGGGTGCAGGACTGGGCATGGGGACATCTCTGGGAAGGCTCCGTGCTCTCCTTCTGCCACAGCCCCCACCGCCCCAGGACTTTGGCTTTGAATCCAACCAGCTTTGTTTCCAAGCCGCGTTCAGGACAAAAAGTAAGAAATCTATTTGTTGGCTTGTTTTAATTATTTAAATTTTTTTTCCCCCTGTGACAAGTTGAAGGATCCAAAATAAGTAATGAATTGGGAAAGCAGCCGCATGGTTATTCCAAGCACAGCATTAGAGTATTGCATTATTTGAGTGCATGACTGTGACCAGGTTCAGGCTCCGCACCGATTTTTCGGCATTAAAGCATTTCCTTTTAGTCCAGGGTCCTCCTGTGGTGCAGGAGAAACCCAGGGGGTCTGGAATACGGTGAAGATGTGTTGGCCTCTTCCTCTGCTCCCACCCTGGGCTTTCTTTTAAAGAACGCAGGCAGCATTTTGATTTTTGGCTGTAATTTTATTTATTCCTTAGATCAGCGTCCTTGGGGTGGCTGACACTGAAGTCATGTGGATTTAGGAAAGAGTCATTTGACACCTGGATCTCACAGAACCCAAATCCAAGCGTGTTAAAAAATTCAAGAATGATTTAAAATTATTGAGGGGGTTGGTTTTGGTTTTCCCCTGCGGAGTGTCTCTGGGGTTTGCGTGCTTGGTTTGACCTTCTGCGTCTCAGCCGCTTGCAAATGGCTCCTGTGAATGGGTCGCTGTTGTGGTGGGGTGGAAATAGGGTCTTTTTTTAAAGGATATTGAGATTTGTAGGTAACTACCTGTGTGGGAATGGAAGGGAGAAGGTAAAGCAGCCAGCACAGCGGGTGGTTTTCAGTGGCCGTGGGAGGGCAAGACTGGGGACACGGGCACAGTTCGGGTATCGCACCCAGGACCGGGGGCTGGAAAAGCATCCCTGGCATCTCCAAAGTACATGTTTCTCTTTCTTCAGAGAAGTATCTACCTAGGCTTCCTGAATCCCTACCTGTGCTTGTGTATCTCATTGCTTGCGTGTGTCTTCAGAGGGAGGAACTGCAGCAGACATAAAGCAGCAGCAGTTAATCGATGGGTTGTGTTTCTCCTAGAGGGATCTGGAGGTGCTTTACCAGCGTTGCTGAGACCTTGCTATGCCCTGTCAGGACTCCAGGATCCTCTTTACTTCTCCTTCCCTGGGCAAAGAGCCCAGTGGGTGTCCTAATGGTGGCCTTGGCACCCCACAAGCCCTGGTCCCACCAGCCCCTGCTCCTGGAAGCAGAACAGAGCTGTTCTGGGGTGGCCATGTTAGCAGTCAGGGAAGGGCATACGCTTGAGGGATCTTGTGTCCTTCTAAAACAGGTTTCAGAATAATAATAATGAGTTTCCATCATGGGAAGAATCAAATACCAGGTGTTTTTTCCCCCCACTGGGAGAGATTAACCCTTGGTTTCCCCATCCCCCCCGCAGTGAGGACCCATGGCGGGCGGCGAAGATGATCAAGGGGTACATGCAGCAGCACAACATCCCCCAGCGGGAGGTGGTGGATGTCACCGGTCTCAACCAGTCTCACCTCTCCCAGCACCTCAACAAGGGCACCCCCATGAAGACGCAGAAGCGAGCCGCCCTCTACACGTGGTACGTCCGCAAGCAGCGGGAGATCCTCCGCCGTAAGTACCCGGCACCCTGGAGGGCTGGTGGGGGGCAGAGGGGGGGTCCCTGCATCCCCGTCCTGCCCGCTTGGTTTCCCCACCCCCCCCGCAGTGAGGACCCATGGCGGGCGGCGAAGATGATCAAGGGGTACATGCAGCAGCACAACATCCCCCAGCGGGAGGTGGTGGATGTCACCGGTCTCAACCAGTCTCACCTCTCCCAGCACCTCAACAAGGGCACCCCCATGAAGACGCAGAAACGAGCCGCCCTCTACACGTGGTACGTCCGCAAGCAGCGGGAGATCCTCCGCCGTAAGTACCCGGCACCCTGGAGGGCTGGTGGGGGGCAGAGGAGGGGTCCCTGCATCCCCGTCCTGCCCGCCAGCACCCAGCACAGCCAGAGCTGGGTGAGGAGCAGCCTCATGCCCTCTTCCCTAGCTAGAGCTCCCAACTTCAGATCCCCCCTGGCTTTGCCCCCAGACCCAGGCTGCCCAGCATCTCCCCCAAAAGATTTTTACAAGTAAAATGAATTTGAGGTGTAGGAAAATGGGGCAAGAGCCCCTCTTGGTCACAGTGTGAGCTCCGCCGAGCCCACCCACGCAGCTGGATATTGCTGTACGTTTCTGTTCCTTAGAGGTGGGAAAGCTATTCATAATGACACAGCATTAGGTGTCTTTCCCACCTCTGCCCCCTTTTCCCCTCTGTTTCTTGAGGCTGCTGATTTTCTGCAACTACTTGCAAAAAAAGTAAAGAGTGAGAAAAGACAAAATGAGCTGTAAACAGCTCCTGTCTGTAGCGCGGGCTTGGGCAGCCCGTGGTATTTAAAATGCAGATGATTTTGACCAAGTGCACAGACTCTTGCTTTTGTGCACCTCTCCCACTGTCCCCTGCCCTGGGTCTGTCCAGGATGTCTCAAAGCAGCCCCGTTTTTGGCTGAGCTGCAAGTTGGGGCACTGACAGCCCCCTTGAAAGGGCTCTGCCTCCATCCTCCTAAATGATGGAATATCCAGCTGAGGGGAAGCGCAGAGAAGGGTTTAGCACCAAATACCATTGCTTTGAAAACACACCTTGAGACACTAGAGCAAACGGAGCCTCCTCCAGCCTTGCCCTGCGTTTCTCCCCTCATCACAGGGGGAAAAGCCATTGTGAAAGGTGGGAGAATTCCCCTGCAAAACTGAGAATAATAAAACCCTCCCATTCATCTGCCTTTACTGCAGCGGGGAAGGTCACCTCTGGGGCTGGTGTCCCACGGGACAGGAGCAGGAGCCAGAGGGGAGCTCTGGGCGAGCAGGGAGGGGACATCCCTTCAGGGGGCTTTGCAGCCCTCCTGCCTGGCTCCAAGCTTCCAAAAAATCCTCCTGGAACACCGGCAGAGAGCCGAGCCATGAATATGCATGCCCTGAGCGTGCCTCCCCATTAAACACCCATCCCGGAGGGGTGGTAATGACTCCCTGGCCCCTTCCCCCGGGGTGGGTGGCAGGGAGCTGCTGCGGGAGGGGACACGGGATGGTGACTCCGAGCAGCGGCTACAGGCCAGCTCACGTCTGCTCCTTTCTCTTTTCAGAGTTCAACCAGACAGTCCAGGGTTGTGGAAATATGACAGACAAAAGCAGTCAGGATCAGCTGCTGTTTCTCTTTCCAGAGTTCAATCAGCAGAACCAAGGGGCTGCCCAGCTCGACGACGCCTGCTCCGAAACCCCCAGCAAGAAGATGCGTCGCAATCGGTTCAAGTGGGGGCCGGCCTCCCAGCAAATCTTGTACCAAGCCTACGACCGCCAAAAGAACCCCAGCAAGGAGGAGCGTGAGGCTCTGGTGGAGGAATGCAACAGGTAAGGGCTGCCCTGTGCTGCCCTTCCTTCCAAAAACCACACAGTGCCAAGCTCCCGCTTGCAGTACTGGCTTCTGGCATGGCTTTGCTGAGCTGCTTGGCCTCTTTTTGTCTCTTTTTTGCCCATTTGGGCAGCAGCTGGGGCCAAGCAAGCTGCGAGGCAGGGCAGGGATGGCATGGGGATGCTGCAAGGATACCACTGGGATGCTACAAAAATGCCACAGGGATGATGCAGGGATACCCTGGGGATATCACAGCATTACAGCAATGTCAGAGGAAGGGGGGATGGCTTTTATGGCATAGATGTAGTCGGAAAGAGCAGGCAGGCTTGTAGGAAGGGCTTAAAAACCCCTGAATTCACACATCCTCCCAAGCTCCCCTGCCCGGGGTGCTGGTGGAGGCCTCCCCAGCAGCACCCTTGTTCCAACGTGTCCCCTTGCACACGCAGGGCTGAGTGTCTGCAGCGAGGGGTGTCTCCCTCCAAGGCACACGGGCTTGGCTCCAACCTGGTGACAGAGGTCCGTGTCTACAACTGGTTCGCCAACCGGCGGAAGGAGGAGGCTTTCCGCCAGAAGTTGGCCATGGATGCCTACAGCTCGGGCCAGCCCCCACACAGCATGAACCTGCTGCTCTCCCACGGCTCCCCCCACCACAACCAGCCCAGCACATCACCTCCCACCAAAATGCCAGGTAAGCCCTCGGCCAGGATTCTTGGGTGGAGGTGAGGAGGAATTGCAGTGCTGGCTTTGGCTTCTGCTGGGGAAAAGGGTGCTGAGGCCTTCGGGGGGTGGGACATGGGTCACCCTGGTCCCAGCCACAGCAAGGGGTAGTGGAGAGGAGCAAGCTCTGTTGCTATGGTGTTATGTTCAGGTGAGCCATGAGGAGGGGGCTGGATTTCCAGCTTGCCAGGGATAAACCAGCATTGGTTTAGTTGGGTGAATTCAACTGAGTAGCGGTGCAGGCTGGGCTGGGGAAGGCTGTATGTGGGCAGCTCTGTGCCTGACATATCCATGCTGGGGCCTTGGGGTACAGCCCACTGGTGAACACTGGTTTAGGGTTGGGGGATGCACAGGCAACGCTACAAAGATGTGGCCATGTGTCCTGGTCTTGCTGCAGGGCTGGGGCAGGACCAGGCTGGGGGCTTGGTGCTGCACCATCCCTTTGCAGGAGCAGAAGTAGGTGGATGAAGGAAGGGTGGTGCAGGGCTCATCCCATCTTCTGCCTCACCCCACCATGGTCCATCCTTTTGTGCATGGTGAGGGGCTGGCTGGGGAGAGCAGACCTGCCAAAAACAGCCTGGGGCTTTCAACAGGAGATAACGCCACTGGGGAGGGTGCTGGAGGCTAATCAGGGCAGGTGTGGGGTGGGAGGACAATCCCCATTGTCCCCCTCCAGCCAATGCCACCAGCCCTCAGCACTCAGGAGTGGGTGCTTGATGGGGGGGTAGAATTCAGTGGGGGGGCTGCACCCCAACTGCCCCATGTCCCCCCTCAGCCACGGCACCCGGCTGGGGAGGCTAAAACCAGCCACCTCTTGGAAATGACCCTGCCTGGCTCGTTACACACACCCAGCTCGTTACAAAGGCAAATTAAAAGAAACCCGTGTGGCGGAGAGTCCCTGCGGGAAGGGCAAGGTGCCTGGGGAGAGGAGGCTGAGAACAGGGCCAGGCCACAGCCCGAGGCCGGTCCTTGGGCGTTAGCAAGTGGGGGCAGCCCCCAAAGCGGTACCTGGGGGATACACCAGCCCCAGGTGGGTACCCAGCATCCCGCCCAGCTCCCCCCGTGGTGGGGACGAGAAGCCTCCCAGCCAGGTCCCAAGTCCTGCTCTCCCCGTCGGGCCAGCCCACGGTGACCAAAATGTGACCCTG